TCAATAATTTCAAGGGGCAAAATAATTGTGAACAAACAAAACGTTTGGCTGTCAATTGCCGACGTCATATCTTATGAACAAAACATTAACGATTTGTATAGCTACACACAACATTTGAAGCTTATAATGGTGATTCTTCTGATCATATTTACATCTTACTTCATCTAGCAGTTCATACTACACTATGAGCTACGAAGTCCTGTTACCTATATTATCATCAAAAATTATTATCGAACTACAATTTCATGCAGAATGAAATCTTTAAACCAATGGATAAAATGTGCTGATTATTTCCAGATAGTGAAGAACATTTGTAGCTCAGGCGGATGACTTTGATGGAGTTTTGTTCTCTGAGCTGATGATGTCGTTCAGAAGAACGATAGAAGCTCCAAGATCAAACCACCCAGCTCAGAGAACAAAACACTATCGAAGCTTATTATTTCACATTACATAATTTTACTATCAATGGTTATCTATAACATTAAATATAAATACATTTCACCTTCGTAATATCTAGAATTAAATTTTAATATTCATATCATGTGTATAAGGTTAGAGATGTCTACTTAATTGTTTAATACATGTTAGTACTCATGATTCTATCAAAGATCAAGATTGATCACAGAACTTAATAGTTCACTAATAAATATATTTTCCGTATTGATACCCATAAATAGTTTTCTTGAAATGAGAAGAATTAGAAACTTTGTCAAAAATTCTTATTATTCAGGTTGTTATCAGTTGATTAACCACATAAGTAAAAAATAAGTGAATATTTTGTTAGTATTTGTAGACTATTTTAAGTAACGGTTTATGAAAGTTCTAACAAACTCTCACTCATTAAGACGAGTCAAAGTTACAAGACTACTTTTTATTTCAGTGTGATATGCTGTTCAGTATAAAATCCGCTTTATTTCAACATTTTGAGTAACATACTTTGCATCAACATATCGTGATTTTGCTCCATGTTTTAGTGTACGATGCGTTTTGTAGTCGTTATGCGTGGAATTTATTTTCATATTTACCCTATATTGGTTGTGATATTCATTAACAAATCATCAAACTGTTTGTGAACTTGATACATACATCAGCGTATTTGGTTAAAGTTGCCGTGGTATTTTTTCTAAGGGTGGATAAATTCGTCATCCGTCATTAGTTTAATCTCCTTCTTTACATAGTTTAAAACTTACTCTCCTGTTTCAAGTCTGATTTTCATAGTCATAACAAACTACTAATAGTCAGTTATATCATTTATCCCATTTGATGAGAACAAATAGGCCTAATAATTTATTTATCTCTATAGTGATTCATTGAACGTCACATGTTAGTTTTCATTACGAAAGGGTTTGTGAACTAAACTATAATTATCTTCTGATTGTTATATAGTTTGTAGCGTTACCTTTCTTTATTTAAACCATTAAGAAATTGATCAAGATATTTTCAAAGATTTCTGTTTTTCAAATGATAAATATTGATGAACATAATAATATCATTGACCTTTTTCTTAGATATTTAAGTCCTTCCTAATTCAAACTTGCCTCCATATTTTCTTTAAACTGAATGGTTTTCCACTGTATATTTTATTTGTTTTACATTACGCTTTAGGCTTGTATATAATATTTGTTTTAATACTTTAGAAAAATTTAGATCAATTTTTACAAGGATACAATATTTATGTTGAACTTATATATACTAAATAATTATGAATACAACCTAACAGCATCACTGACCTAGATAATCCTTAGTTAAGTTCTACCAAATGACCTCTATGAATAAAGTGATTCTTCATAAAAAAGGAACCATATAAATATGTGCGTACTAGTTAATAGTTTTTCATCAGGAAATTATTCCTTCTTTAAAATGACCATTTCATAATAGGTAATACAATTTTCAGTATTGGGGTTGTGGAGATTATTAAGTTTTTTTTATTGAGATCATGAACCGATTGATGTTAGACCACCTCTGGAAACCTGGGGGCACTGGACGGCTGTGTCGAGTAGAGACAGGTATCTACCTCAGTACAATGGAAGATGGTGGCGCAATTTCGTGGATTGGTTGATGTTAGACACTAACACCATTGGATGCCGGCTCAGTGGTCCAGTAGGTTAAGCGTGCGCGCGCGAGACTAAAAGCCTTGAGTTCAGACCCCGCGAGCGGGATCGTGGATGCGCACTGTTGAGAAGTCCCATAATAGGACGAAACGGACGTCCAATGCTTTCAGGTTTTCAACGGTTGGTCTAACACCAATCGTTTCATAACCCCCAATCAAATAATACAATTTTGTTATCGATTTTACGCTTTAGTCACAGATAACTAACATACTAAGACTCTAGACTTTCACAGATAAACTTACTTCCTGTTTATTGACAGTAAAATATGCATAACTTCTGATCTCCCTAAAAACACCACATATATACGTGGAACATTTTTAAGCTACAAAAAGTGATGTGTATCTGGCAATAAAATAATATATATAACATCAGATATTTCATGTAAATAAAAACAAATAGCTTTAAATTTTTACAGGTTTTTATTTGTAAACCAACTTGTCATCTATTGAACAAAATGAACTGAGAACAGTGAACATCTCATCTTGTTACTAAGGGAAAAAATTGTAGAACTAAACCTTCGCGTTCAAAGAACACGACTCAGTCAAATAGATTCACATTAATCACAAATTTTCGCTATCATTTCGAAAGACTATTACATTTGACCTATGGAGGTTTTACTGATTGATATGTCTTGGTAAATTCAATGTGATTTTAAAATCTGACGATTTGAATATGCTATCAATTCTGTTTATTTTGAGGATGGTCAATTTGTGTAATTAGTGAATAACAGTTCATTCACGATTGATTGATCACTGGATGATGATCAATGTCATGTATGTCAAGTCCTTATTAGTGCAGATTGAATGCTATCGACCAAGTCGCAATGTGGCCACTAGTCTAGGTGACTCGACATTACGTGCACCATGTTGAAATTAGATGGTGGCTGGAGGTAGTCGACAGGAAATCCTGGACCCAGGTTTCGTGCTTCTTGGCATTCGTCAGCAAGGTGTACCTGAAATCTCGAGGGATCTGGTGTCGAGTCACTCAGACTGGTAGCCACATTGCAACATGGTCGATAGCATTTGATCTGCACAAACAATAAGGACTAGACACGCATGACATTGGTCACCACCCAGTGATCAGTCGATTGTGATTACATCTCAGTCCCACAGGAGGTCAGTTGCGGCCCGGATATCCAAGTGTCAACATCTCTAACTGTGACGCTTCGTGGCACGGGATTAAATCCGTCAGGGAGCATCAGTTCCCTCAAGATTACAGGTACACCTTGCTGATGAGTGCCAAGTAGCACGGAACCCTGGTCCAGGGTTTTCTGTCGACTAGCCCCGACCATAATCTAAAGGTTCATTCAGATTTTTCATAAAAAACCCGTCTACAATGCCTTCTAAATAGAAATTTAGCCAAAAATGATCAAGCTTGAAAATGGATGTTTTTTCACCTATTTTTTAGGATTTAATCTAATGCCATTACTGTAAATAATCTTTTAATTTATTCAGAAAGGTATGCAATTTCATAAAATAAACTAAACATCACCCATTTCATATATTCACATTTAATATTTGGTTACTGATACGACATCATTCACTCATTAAATTGAACAGAAAAAGATAATAAATATAAGTTGGATAATTCATAGGGTTTTCATGAAATGTTTATAGCTTGTAATAGTTCGATGTTAAAAAAACTAAAGAATGGTACAACAAGTACTCAAATAAAGAATTGAAAAACGAAAATAAGCACTGTAAACATACATGTAATATACGGAAGTTCCAGTAACACTTATGAGAATAATTTCAAAACACTAGAAAGTTGAAATTTAATAATTTTTCCATAAAATAGTTAAATAAAACTATGAATATCTTACCCAAATACTTCAAATATAGTCTTTACAAAACTAAGAATAGTGATGTAACACCTTTATATAAGATAAAAATGCAGTACCTGATAAACCGCTAAATTTTATGGATTAGTTTAAATTCGACATTAACACCGTTGGATGCCCGCTCAGTGGCCTAGTGCTTAAGCGTTCGCACGCGAAACTGATAGGTCATGGGTTCGAATATCGCGAGGCGGATCGTAAATGCGCATTGCTGAGCAGTCCCACAGTAGGACTAAACGGCCATCCAATGTTCCAGGTTTTCCATGGTGGTCTAGTTTCAATCGACTCATGATCTCACCTATCAAAATTATGTGTTCTTTATCACTGCAAAATAACCTGATAGCTCTGATGACACAGTGATGGATTATCACATATGTTAGAAAATAGTTTACATAACGTGTTTACTAATTTAGGTGCAAATGTTTAGTTAATATATTGGTGTCATACAAAATCAATCAGTTAAATGTTCTCGAATAACTCATTATTTTTTTAATTGAGTACATTGTAAAGCAGATTATAAAGTTTCTCACGCTGGATGGTTTAACTTCAGGACTTTCATTGTCATACTGGACAGCGTAATCAGTGGCTACTTTATCTAGAACAAAATGCTCGATTTATTCAGATCAGATCGTTCTGATGATTCCATTTGTGATGGTTGTCTCCATAGTTCCTTGCATTGGCGTGAGGTATGAATTTCAGTTGACGTCTAACCATGTGATTATTTGACTTCTTCAATATGTGTTAACATGTTGAACTTATGCCGATATATTTGCAGATTGCCATCAGATCTGAATGTCATGCTTCTAGCACTTTGAAAAAAATTTAGTTCTTCATTAATCATTCTCCAATCAAACTCTTATCCATAATTGTTTAAATGTTTTGGTTTTAGTAATATTACATAATGTTGCTGATCCACGTACATGTAGATGTAAGTGATTCCCATGAACCTTCAACTGATTCTTTAACGAAATATCTTATTTTAATAGCTGATAATCGTAACACTGACTTTTTATCCACTTTACTCTCCCACTTCGTTTTTATTTTTGTAAAAGACAATTATGGCAACTATGTAGCATTCGATGAAAATGGTGATGGTTACGGACAATATTCAATATATAATTATGCGCGCGATCCATACACTGGTCAGTATCATTATCGTTTAGTCGGTGATTTTCAAGGTGGCAAACTTACGATGCGTGCACGACCTATATGGCCGGGTGGGGAATCAAAAAATTTTCCAGTTAGCCAATGTTCAGAAGAATGTGGGTAAGTCGAAAGTATTTTATTTTTTGAATGCATCAATCAGTAAACTAATCATTTAAAGAGTCTCTTTATTGTTTAAATAAGCGTGCAATCTTTATCAGGAACTTTAGTTTACTTGGATACCGAATGGACAATAATTCCTTCTGAACTAAGACTTTCGCACCGACTGGTTATTCGGAAGACCACAAATGTCATACGAAATGCTCTCGAATACATAAACATATTCACTTCGAAAAAGTTCTTCCTTCCTGAAATTATCAAAATTTCGTCTTAAATATGTGAAATAAAATCGATATGGCATCTAGTCAACAATGTAGTTTCTAGTATCGAATAATTCAAAAACACTTTGTATTTATGTTTCGTATTCGGTAAACATATTCCTAACCAACATAACTTCAACAGTTCCTCTTTGAATATACAGCTAAAAAGGTAGAGTATAAGTGTTTAAATAAAAAAGTCTAAAATAAACTATTTTAACACTTATCACACTCTCAGGGATTTCTTAATTTTTTTTTGTTGTTGTAATAGTCAGTCAATTTTTAATAATAAAAATAATCATATATCTGTAATACGCTACAACAAATACCCATCGTAAATGTTAAGTAGTTTTGAAATGTCTTTCGAATAATTACTAGGGAAAACCTAATCCCTTGATCTTTTACAGATTTAATACTTTCATGTTAGGGTATTGTATTAGAAATGTAAATATGACAAAAATTACTGGGATAACTACTTTAGTACTCCGTAGAGATCATTCAAACAAAAAGTTAACCTCGGTTCTAAATGATGGAAAAGATTAGGAAAAATCGATCAAAATGAAGAAATTTAAATTAAAGAGATATGTACTGAATCTCTATAAGTCTTTAGTCTACATTAAGGTAACTACGTCAACTATATGCTAGAAAATTTTACCATAAATATTTTACAAATGTTTGCTTTGAGCTGAACTTCAGATAGGAATTTTCAATGGAAATTTTCACTATATATATATATATATATATATATATATATATATATATATATATATCTTTCAAATAATATTAACCCACTGACCTTGATGTGACTATTCCGTTTTCTTTCATATTCACATGATGTTGCTGCACCGATTATAATTCATTATCTTATTTTTTCCAACCCTTTTTTCAAAAGCATTTTGAATTTCATGGGTAAAAGTCTATCCAAGTACCTAAGACATTAGAAACAATTCATAACAATGATTAGAAAAGTTAAATCCTTGTGTATATATTTTACACTGAGAAATGTAATTCAATATCACTGAGTATGAAATTTGATGAAATTTTGAAAATAGTTCTTTAGTCAAATAGTTATTTTGAACATATAATCAGGTTCGCGCTTCTGTAAGTACTTGAATTTAAATAGGACAAATATCAATTTATTTTATTTCCTTTCTGTATTTAATAAGTATCGAATTAGGTGGTGCAGCTGGAATCAAACATATTTAACATAGATTATCTTATTTTCATGGTTTTAGACGTAAACCACAGTTTCAATGCTCATTGAAAATATACTTACTTGGTGACAGCACAATTGGATTATAATTAAGAATAAATAGTGACATATGTAGTGGAAAAATAAAGCAGTTAAAATGTAGAGGAAATTTCATTGTATATAGTTGTGAAACGATACAGATTTACAATCGGCTGACGAATATTAAATTTACTATGTGATGTTTATATATTGTATCCTATTGACTATAGTTTGAATTTTAGAAAAAATTGCTTACTTCATCGACTTCGTATTCTTAAATAAACACCATGATGAAGAAAATACTAAGCATATTATGAAGTAAATTATTGATATAGCAGATGTCGATGATGAAGCTGTTTCAATCAAATGTGTCATCACACCTGTGACTCTGTGACCCATTGTATAGATATAGATTCTGAATAACATCTTTCCATTCCGAAGTTTAAACTATGCGGTTAAGCAAACACTGGTATATTAACTAATCATGCAGTCATTTTCATTTTCCATACTTTAATAAGCACAGCTCTTAGATGTATTCACAAGCTACTTTGTATGCTATCAGTAATATATATATATATATATATATATATATATATATATATATATATAATAAATTAACTTAATGATACCATATAAACAGTTTCACTGAAGACACATGATAGATCGGTTGTTTACGTCACATTTAACGATGTGATAACGATTTTTCCCGGTAAAAATGAAAACAAAAACATTATGTTATTTTATAAGAATAATTTGTCCAGAGGGTAAGTAATGTATTTATTTCCAGACAGCGCAGAATAACAATATTGAATAATACATATAAATATAGATATAAAAATATATTATCTCAAGTGTATAAACACATTATGTTTGATATACATAGATTACATTTGTTGATTGATTTTCACCCACTATTCTTGAGATAAATAAGCATACAAAAGTTTGTTTTCAGTTGTTCATATTACCGGTAAGAAAGTTTTTAATAGAAACACCTGAATGAATAACATATAACTCAATGACTAGGTAACAGCATAACAATACGCGTACATATTCTTTAATTGCTATTAACTAGAAAGGTTAGGAATATAAACTTGATGATGAAATGTCAGATTTAGCTCATTTTAATCCCGTTTGTTCTAATGTCTATTAAATGAACTGATTGTAATCTGTTCAACAAAATTCTGAACTTGAAAGTATAATTATTGCTTGCTTGAGTAGATTATACTTATCCTAAAAAAAGTTCGATGTATATATTCAATAGTTTTAGTAGTAATTAGCTTCAAGATGTGGCTGTTCAATTTGTGTCGGGTGTGAGACAGTTATCTACTGCACGTAACGGATAATGGTTGCAAAATATCACGAACTAGTTGAACGTAGACATTAACACTGCTGGATGTCGCCTCGTTGGTCTAGAGGTTAATGATTCCCCTATATAACCAAAAGTTTTGGGTCCAACTCCCGATTTAAACTGAAAATTTTATAATCTCCACAAATCCTGTACACTACTAATTTTAAGAATTAAATTAATTATAAGTATATGCTATGGCATTAATATAACCAAACATCTAATCTAAACTATGTATTCAAAAGATATATATACGACTCGCTCTTTTCCTAATCTGGTCGCTGTGTAAAGTGTTCCTCATTTCATATCTCTTTAGAAAAGTTTTATTTAGTTACATAATCTTATATATAATCTATTCATGCTATTTTCTTGATATTTGCTGATCTTTAGATCAAATTACTGTCTGTCAATGATTTCCCAGCTAAAATTATTCTGCCTTATTCCATTTTTTAAAGTATGAATTTAGTTTATTTTCAGCTATTAAAATGTGTTCGTTTTGTTATATTCTATTTAATTTACAGTCATGAATCGATAAAATAAACAATAAATCACTGTATAAACTTAAAAACGTATTAAATATCAAGCCTAGCAAAAGGTCATGAATCACTCTAGTGTAATAAGACGCTAAATTTTAAAGATTCATCTAATACACAGTTGCTAACCTTACAATAATCAATTGGCTTAAAGCAATCATCTCGAAAGAAAACAAAAACACTTGAGTGTAAAAGATTCAATCTCTAAAAGTATATACAAATCGATCATATTTACTGATATTTTGACTCTGAAAGTTGTTGGTCTAACAAAAATACCGAAAAATCGGTTCTTTTATCGATGTATTCATAAACATTTTAAAATCAGTTAGTAAAAACTCTTGAGCAGTTATGCGAAAAATCTATAGATAAACTGGGAAAGTTGAAGGTGGTTGGAGAAGGTTTGTTACAGTTTGATAAATTATCTTTTACTCACAGGTAAGCTGAAGGAGATAGTAGATTGTATGGATAATATAGTGAGGAATTAAGAAACAGAAATCTAAATTCCCAATTATCCCTTTAAGGATTTTGAATGTGGAAATGAATTTGGACATATGCTTTTCGTTTGAAAAAGTTTAACAATCAGCTTCACGGTGTTGTTGTAGTATTTCCACCAGATTAAATCTTATCAGATTTCTTCTTTAAAAAGTTGAAGGACGCTTGTCTAAAGGTATGGTTAGTGATATATCGCGTTTTTGCCGACATCTGACGAAAATTGTGATGGTTGTCACTCTTACAATCATTGATAGCGAAAGTGATAATGTTGTATTTCTCTATATTCTGAAAAAATGATCATCAAACTATATCATTAAAGAAAGTCAAAACCAATTTCAAAGTCCATTAAAGTCATTTTTGGTTTCTTATTTGAACGCTGTACAAACAAAATATACTGTATAATTGATTTCATTTGTAAAGTTTTATCTACTGTGGTCGTAACTTTGATGACCAGCAATAAACTATGGGTAGTATGGTTAGAAAATACAGAGTTATGCCAATACTGGCATTTTCAATGTAATAACTGTTCTTGAAACTACAGTTTTCAAATGAATTTACCAATGAGTTTGAAACACAACCTCTATGGAGCTAAATAGATCAAAAGTGCATAATGTAGTATTATTTATTTTTAAAATTAAGCATTTAGTCGTTTGAAGGATTTTATGAGTGAATATTGATTACGTAACGACAGAAACTGTAAAAAACGAAATTTCAACAACATTGAATTTTGTAGTTATGTGGGAACTATCTTTGCCAAATAAATTATCACCGGGATGTAACCATTGTCATGCTTGTCTAGTCGATTGAACTGACCAAAGTCTTTAGATCAAGTTAAGGCTTAAACAGTAATCAAAGTTACTCTACAACACATTTACTAAATTCTAAATAGTTGGAGACAAGTAGCAGAAAGGCTGCATTCCAGTTGACGATCGTTAATAAGGTTCATTTATCATTACCTTGGGTTTAATCGATCTTATCCAATGCTTAGGATTAGACATTCAATGGCATTATATATTGCTGAATGGTACTTCATTGAAAATACCTCAGTCAGACAGCGGATATAGTCTTTCGATTTAATCCCTCAACCACCTATATGTTTTCAGCTCCGAAGATTGCTTCTTTGTTAATAAAAAAAGCTGCAAAATACTACGCAAATAAGGTGTAACTTTTACTCTTCTTTTCTAATTAATGTTATGTAGATTTGGTGAAGTTCGACGTTTAGACAAGAAACAACAGTGCTGTTGGTCATGCGAAACATGCGGTGTAGACCAACGCGTAGTTAATTTAACTCACTGTGAAACTTGTCCTTTTCAACACTGGCCTTCAAAGGATAAAAGAACATGCGAACTTTTAGAGGTAAGTGCAAAATTAATTATTTATCATTTGCTATATATAACTCTATCCAACGTTCAAACGTTAATATTTGCGAAATTACAATAAATAAATGTACAATATATGTTTTTATTTGAAGTCAGTTATACTAATTAATTTTTGGTATCAAATGAAGTGCTGAGGATCGTTTAGTTAAACTGAAATAAGTTTCATTTAGAATTTAGAAATATGATAGATCCAAATATAATCACAATCAAAAACATTTAGAATTAAGGTGCTGAAGTTGAAATGGCCAGGGTTTTAAATTGTTACATTCCACTAATTAATAGTATGTTAGTGAAACATTGATTCTTCAGTAACCGTTTAACAGTATTTTTTATGGTAGCCCAATAAAAAATTCAGGATGATAGAGGTAAAAAAGCTATGGAGAAGTGATAAATTCCTGGAATCATGAATGATGATAGAGAGAAAATAATATTCAACTGAAAAGATAAATGGTAATAAAATGGTTTCATAGGTCGACTAGAAATTAGAGCCTGTTATAAAGTTAACCATAATTAGTTTCGTTTAAGATGACTATTGAAAGTTTAAGTACCACACTATTTTCGTTGAAAAATATCTCTTCTGTTATCTGGTTATAATTTACTAAGTAATACAGAACGTAAGTTTGCATGCTACTAAATCACAACACGTGTATAGTTATTACTTAAGAAGGAGAATAGATAGAGAGTAAATTGTGTGCAACTATCATGTATACTAAAGTGTAATATCTTATCTAATAAACCAAATAATAAATGAAATATCCAAATGATCGGCGAGATGGTCGATACATTAGACTAATCATATCATCGTGTTCAAAACAAAACGCCAACCTGAAAATATAATCCATATATAGATAACCTTTTGAACACCCTGATGATATTTTCAAATAAGCAAAGAAAGATACCTTTTATATAATCCTAAAATGCATAATAATTAAATGTTATAGTGGAAAAGGTTAATAGCTTAGATTAATTAGTTTGATTAAGCTTCGCCCACTGGGCAGGGTGATCTAATCTTGAATCTTTCAATATCCTTCTAAATAAAATCATTAGTATGAACTTCAAGGAGGAGTGAGAGACTAAAATGTCCCCATATGACTAACAGCTTGTCATGTCGACCTTAATCTTGATTGCCTAATGTTATCTTGTCATTGCTTACATTAAAGAATACGTCGTAACCAACACAATTTATTAGCCAATTAGAAAAATCGTCGACGAATGCAAAATCAGGGACCAGACCAAAGAGGAAGATATTCTAAATAAATACCCTTATAAGAGAAGACAAAGGTCAACAATAACACCTCAACGGAAAATGTAGAGTTTTTATAAAGTATGGAGGACATTGCGTTAGTTATTCCCAAAAGATAACTGTTATGGAGCGACGTTCCTTTTTTACACGCGTTTCTTTTATTGAGATATAATTTACATTAATTTCTTTTCATGACTGCAAAACAAAGTTACTACAAAAAATGTATGTTAATTATTCTTTCTGGTGAACTGTCAAACCATTACCTACTCGAAACATATTCATTTAATTGCAACTTAGAACTGTTTACCATATAACTAAATGTTTTTTTTACTAAACGTTGATATCACTAACACCATCTGATAGTAGGTACAAAAAAAACAGAATTTCACTATGCGATGAGCTTTGAAGTACATTCGCAGTCGAAAACATCTTTTTTATAATATCCTCGAAGAACGTCAAGCCTATAATATAAACTTATTACAGCGAAATGAAAACGTTTTAAAAAGATATACATCACTTGATGTATTTACAACTGCACGTATATCAGCCCAATTTCTAGCTTGTAATTTGTGAACAATAAGGATCATCAATGCTGCCTAATATGAAAGTAGAGTTTTCCTAAACACTTAACCGAAAACTTAAGATATAGATTAGAATTCTGAATAGTAATCTTTCTGATTGTTAAAATACAAATTTATCGAAATTTTGTGCCTAAATGTTTTAACCTGCTAGAAATTTTTATTTTTGCATACAGTTACACTATATTGATATTTCGACGTGGTTTGCAATCGTTCCAATAACTTTCAGTAGTCTTGGAATACTAATAACTGGTGGTGTTATATTTACATGGGTTTTCTACTCTGATACACCCTTGATTCGAGCTACAGGACGTGAACTGGCCTATGTACAATTAGCTGGATGTTTAGTTTGCTATTCATGTGCATTTATTCTGATTGCAAGACCGTCAATTTTCACATGTTCACTACAGCGAATCCTAATTGGTCTTGGTTTTGCCATGATGTATGCTTCATTATTAACAAAAACCAATCGTATAGCAAGAATATTTGACGCAGCAAAACGTACTACTAAACGTCCTGTATATATTTCACCAAGATCACAACTTGTTATTTCTGGATCACTAATCGCATTACAATTATCCTTATCAGCTATATGGTTTGGCTTTGATTCACCCGATACACGAATTGATGAAATTAGACCTGGTTATCTTGTTTTACGATGTGCAATGAAAGATAAAAGTTTTTTAATCTCCCTGGCTTACAATATGATTTTAATTATTGTTTGTACAGCATATGCTGTAAAAACACGACAAATTCCAGAAAATTTCAATGAATCAAAATTTATTGGCTTCACTATGTATACAACATGTATTATATGGTTGGCATTTTTACCAATGTATTACGCTACAATTAGCAATCATCAAGTAAGTATTCCATTGAATATAAGCGTTACAATTCAAATGTTAACAGTCGATATATACTGAAAATAATTTAGATAAAATCAGAAGAGATCAGTAAACGTTTGAATATTAAGTAGTATATTAAAATAATATGTTGACAAAAAGAAGCTTAGTACGTAAATGTGAACCTTGCGTAATTTTAAAACTTATGATTATCACTAAAATGGTTTATTCGTTAGATCTCAGTCCATTGTTTCCCTTCATAAAAGAGTTACAAAATTAAATTTCTTCAAATATCCTTTTGTGTTGAAATGAAAACTCTCAATACTTAATCACATATAAAGTTTTGAAAATCTGTTTTCATCAATCATTGCAAGCTTCTACAGCGGTTACATTCAGTTGAGAAGTGGTTACAAATAAAATGAATTGAATTGTTCAACCAATATACATATTCATTTATACAGATAAAACTATGTTTACCAAATAATTTAAAGCACTGAAACACATCAATGAAAAATATTTATTTTTACTGAAATCTCTTCAAGTTCTACATTTATATATTAAAATTAAAAATCCGAAAATGGTCAGGGTCAACGTCATTTAAAATTATGGCATTGCTTGTAAAATAGAATAAAATTGTTGACATAAAAATGGCTAACGTGTAATGTTAACTACCATACGTTTTATATGTTAAACAAAATTATGCAATTCATAATTATGATATATATGTAACATAAAGTTCTCCATGGTGGTCTAGCTTTAATTGACTCATGATCTCAACTATTGAGATTACTATAATATCCACAAAAACCCCTTCTAATACAAATAATTATGTGTTTACAAACCAGATCCAATATTTGTTAAAACTAATATACAGAGATGTTAATTCAGTAAGAAATAAAAAAGAGAGGTGAATACTAAGCAAATTATTCATGTGTTTGTTAGATTTATAATGATCCCAAAAGAATAATTATTAGATGTTAATAATACAAGGAAATGTGAATATGATCAATTTGTAGTTATCAAAAACTACATCACTTTAGGGGCATCAATTATTCAGGTAACTTTATACATAATTAGCATTATTTTTGGTTTATCGGCCAAGGGATTGGTCAAGGTAGGAGAACAGGTGGTACATAAATCTTCAGCACACTTAACTCCAGTTTCTTAATTTGAATAGCCGTTATTTCTGTCGACTAAGGGACATTGAGTCTGATCGACCTTAGTATATTCTTCGTACACTCATCAGTGTTATAGTATGACGAGGATTTTCAAACACTTTTAATAATTCAGTCAAAGAGAAATACAATAAGCTAAGAAATAATAACCGTACAATCTGAAACTTGTTTACGAAATACGTTGAACAACTTTTATTGAAAGTGAGGCGACTTATGATACAAATATTGTTTCGTGTTATAGACCTACTAGCGTCACAGTTCCCAGAGTGAATGTCTCATGGTCTGTATTACTGACCAAAAAAATTTGTACATCATCCATGCTAAACATCACAGTAAGTTAAAAAGCACAACTGATATAATCGATGAATTTGATTAACATCACTATTTCCATACGGTAAGTCAGGATTCATGATGTGAACGCTTCGATTACTAGAATAACATAACAACAAAGTTTAGAACTTTATTTTTGTATTACAGCATTTTTCTCATCTGTGGAATCCTCCAAATGGTTAGTTACATACTAGTTGTAGTGGTTCAAACAACCATATTTTCTTTTACTCGATTTATCCGAAGGCAAATCGCTAATGAGATACACTTTGAACATGTGAAAATGTCACATTATATTCCTGTCAGTTCTTTATAGTTAACTGTGCTTTGTTCAATAAAACTAAGCAAATAGCTTACTTTATATAAATTAAGCACGTACATATAACCATTCTTATAAACACTATAGTTATGAGTACAACACATTTACTTAAATGTGAGAAAAATCCTTAATTTTTGTTTCATTTTTTAATCTTTCTCACTGGAAGCAATTTTTACTGTTTTTTTACTTAGAAATATTTCACTAATATTTCTCGCATACCTTATACACCTTTTATATTGTCTGGAATGAATTAAATCTCCAGAATATTAACGCTTACCTTACATGCAGTTAACTTCAGACAAATCAATTCCTTCTAACAAAACATCAAGAAGAATCAGTGTGCTATTTGAACAACAAAACAATAAAGATCAGATGCAAAATAAACTTAATAACAAAAATAAGCAGAATTATGTATGTGGTACTGGAAAATCATAAATATCTTAGTTTACTAAATATTTAATAGTTTTATCGAAGTAGTCAATTGACTTTATGGTTAAAGCCCAGATGAATGATTTTGATGGAACTTTGTTCTCTAAACTGGATGATCTGGTCGTGGAGTTTTCATCGCTACTCTAAACGACATCAACAGCATAAACTTCGAGTAGACGTCCAGTTCAGAGAACAAGGCTTTATCAAAATAGTTAAAGCCTTTTAGTAGTTTTGTTACATGTTAAATAAAAGAAAACTAAGATTTGCATAACTATGCATTCTTTCCCTTATGCATACTGATGGGTCACGGTTACAGTCAATATTTTTATTTTACACATGAAATTAATTTTTCACTAAAAAATCAGCAGCTTCGATATAATTCATACTTTTAAATGTAGTAATGGACTAATAACTGAAACATTTGAATCTTAGCCCTTGCTAATTAATTAAAAAAATTGCTACATTAAATTCAATTGAACAGACGAGTACAGAAAATTGTACTCCTGAAAAATGTTACATTTACCTTCACACAACCGAATCCCTGTTGACTAATTATCAGAAAATAGGCCAAGCATAAACATACCACTATCTGAACAATATAACAGTTGCCTGTACACAACAGACATTACATAAAATGGACAACATTAGAGATTGATTTCCATCTATCCCCATAGTGATCTATGACTAATAAAAGTCAGTAACTAATATGTTATCACTACCAATACTACTGGTAGTATTAAAATACTATTGTAAATATTATCTAGAAAATTTGCCAATTTTCTGACTGTAATCTATAAATTTCATATCCCTAATTACTCACTATGCATAATATTTTTTTGTGTTTTCCATCCAACTTATTATGACATTTATGACGTACAAGTATTCCAAAACAGCTGAAATAACCTCTGAGAGCAGTTGCATAAAACCAGAAGCATAATGGATTGACATGGAATGAAAAATGACATTTGAATCAACAGCAGGACATTTGTACAATACTAACTAGAGTGTACCTTACAACTGTAATTTAGATCAGTATATTTTTTCATGGAGAATTCAGTATTAACAGCACGTCATGCCCTGAATGACCGTGCATATATATATATATATATATATATATATATATATATATATATACCTCTTATAACTTCCAATAAACTGAGACAGGCTAAATCGGACAAATCATTAGTTATTCTAACTGATATATATCCAACACTTATGAGTTAAAGATATACTTTACAGCATCCATCAAAACAGTACGTCAAATCGTAATATAAAAATATAAATAAAATGACCATTCACAAATGGAACTAACAACATCATCTTTCATAATACAGTTATAAGAAAATAATCAGGTTTTCCATCTATGAAACAGTTAAACAATTATATAAAGCATACATTTTGTTAATCTGAATGATAGACTACCGTTTTTCAAAAATGAAAAATGACTTCGTTTCATGTTATTAGTTGGATCTCAACGAAGGAATAGATCTCGATCAGTTGAATTACAATTTTTATCAAAGTCATATCTGTTATGTCTTACTGGCCTACTCAATTTTTTTAACTTGTACAAATAATTTTACATTAAGTAGATCAATGGCTATTTGAAAATGGGCGATAAGAGATTTTTTGTTTAGTATATGAGTAATATTTAACCAAGAATATTTGATTACTAGACCAATTGTTTTCAATAAACATTTAACAAAAAACATCATTAATTTATATGGTTGCTCAAATAACATTCATATTTGTTGTTAAATTTCTACCGATTGTTGAATTTATTTAAAACTGTCAAGTCCAACCTTGGCATTGAATATTTTTAATATGTGCAAAACAACTGACACAACAAGCATAGAAGATATATTAATGTGATCATCTTCACTTCACACAAAACGGATTTCAGTCAGGACTGATGTTTATGCAGTATTCAAAGTGATACTCATACTATCAAAGTTGGATAAATATACATTACATTTTAGAGTTTGACAGGGTATATTCGCTCAGAAAAATATTGTTTTTAACTAGAACGTTTCTGTTAAAAATACTAAGAGTCAAGAGTTATACGGTATAAAAACTCGAGGATAACAGGAAAGGTTATAAAGTATGGTAATTCTATTAGAACACCTAGATCCTCAGCCGCAATTATTTATATCTACTAAAATATTTTTCTTATATTAAATCACTGAATTATCACGAGAAATATGACAAATTAAGGAGTACAACTAAAATATTGCCAACAACACCATGAGGTCATGTTGTGTATAACAGTTTTAGGTTTTCATACTAAACATTTTGCGATTCCTGTTTGACATTGATTTGGATGAATGAAATACATTTCATACCAACGATGATAGCCATTATTTTGCATAGTTTTTAATCATGAACTTTTATGCGATCGAATGAAGTAGACAAACTTCGATGATAATGACTGATTTTATCCCCTCACCAATAACATAACGACCATTTAACTAAATATACTCACTAAAACATCAGTTTTACTAACATTTCGACAAATTGTTAACGAATGTCATAATTAACCCAAATACAGGAAACAAAAAGTGGGTATAACATAGAATAACTACAAAACGCATACTGCATTTTATACTTGACGAAGTTCATACTGACTCTATTCAAAGAATATTATAGTCAAATATATCAAACTGAAATAAAGTAAATTTATATTAAACAGAAATCGAAGTAAAGCTATATAAGAATCTCATTGTGTTAGGGTATGATCTCGTATTTTGTTCCATTTTAATAGTCAATAAACTAATTTAAATATTAGACAATATTGTACTTAAATCAATAGTTTTTTCGTCTGATAATATATTGAAATAATTTTAAAAGTTGTTTATTGTTCCATACAAGGAAGTAGTTTTATGAAATTAAAGTTTAGATAAAAATTCACTCAATCTTTGTTGGCATCTTCAATATTTTAAACTTCATTAATCAATAATAACAAGAATATGTTGCCTTGGTTATATAATCATTAACTTTTCAAATATATTTATTTACTGTTCCATATTATAGCTTATTGTTAATCATCATTACATATTCACAAATCAATGCTGAATACAAAAGATAAGATTATTATTATTTTAAAACTCATCAATTATCCGACTGTTACAATTAGACAGACATTAATAATGAATATGTTTCTAACATTACATCCGAATGTTTGTCATAAATTAATTTTAATAAATTAATGTACTCTTCCTTATCTTTAATAGGAAATATGAATTGATTTGATTCTAACGCTATCACTAATGGAGATAATAATAATAATACTATAGTAATAATATTTTCAATTTCTAGGAAAATGATTTATTTTTAATAAAAAAATATTATTGACGATATTAAATCACACCATAACTTATCGCTAGGTGATCATTACAAGTGTCAATTGAATTCTCGTTACATATAATTAATTTATAATAAATTTATTCAATCGATAAAATGTTTTTTCTTGTTTATTCATATAAACCATAAAGAGATTTTTGTAAATTAGAATTGATCAGGATATATACTGTTTTCATGAACATAATGTTGCGTTTGCTAATGATTATTCTTAAACTGATGAATAAATAGATATTCTTTTGAATGAGATTATATCTATAACCTGAACTAGAATTTGTTATGAATTCACTAGTTGTTTTTTTATTTTACTTAAAATATTAAACAAATAAATAGGTTATTCGAAGCAATTTATGTATAATATGAACCATGTTATAGACTCTATATTACTAGATTCACTTGATATTATGTACTGAATCTTTCCATTGATGTTTGGGATTGTAATTGATCAGTCTCTTATTGGCATATGTGCATACTGTGCGTATTGCCCCGATATGGCCTTAATTCACAAGCATTATATGCAAAGATGGATAGTGGTTATCAGTGGAATCCAGAGCGCGCGTTAAGTAGATAGCGCAATAGCGTTTGAAGCGAACGGTACTGGGTCCGAGTCCCTGAGTGAACATCAACTCAGAGATGCAGGTACATCCAGCTGACAATCCCAAATAGGACGAAACGCGCGTCCAGGATTCCACTGCTAGCCACTATCCATCTTTCACAATTGACTGATCGCTAGGTGGCGATCAATTTCATGTGTGTCAAGTCCTTCTTAGTGCAGACCGAATGACAGGTACACCTTGCTGACGAGTGCCAAGCAGCACGGAACCCGGGTTCAGGATTTTCTGTCGACTACCTCCAACCACCAACTATCCATTTTTGTTTACAATTCTATATTAGCAGTTTAGAAATACGATTTAAAAAAATTTTACTCATCAACATAAAGCTTATATTAATGTATTTAATAGTGTCAAAAGAATTGCTCAAACGTTTTATGAAATTCTAAAAGATTGCAACGCTTATCTTTAATTTTACATAGATTGGTAAATAATAGTTAACATTTTGCTTGTGTACCTATAATGTCTTACACTGAATATGTATATTTTATAAACCAGAGATACAAAAAGTTTAGTTCTACAATACTTCACTTGAAAGTTGTTATTTTAATTTTCTTGATGGTAAAATGTAATTTAACATTACATATATCCTACTCTAATGAATAAATTGTTAAAATTTATCATTCTAATTTGATACCATCATTTACAAAGGTTTGAATACTTTCTTAAAAAACAGAAAAGAAAAGAAATTCATTAATGAGTCACTAAAAAAACGAAAGCATTCATTTACTTCTTGATTATCTTGATAGAAAAATTCTCTCTATTTTCTTTTTTTTTATTTTAATCATAATGAATTAATTTTACACAACGTTAAGTTTATTGGCGACAAGTTAATAAACATTTGCATAAGAATGATAAATAGTTAATTTATTAAATTTTTATTTTAAGTAATGAACCTCTTAAAATACTTAATCAAGTAGCATTTAAATGATTTAATTTGTATAGATTTATATTCATCTAATTTGTTATTCCATGGAGTGATACGTGATGGTATAGTTTCATCTACTATGTTCTTACTTATCCATACTCTAATTTTATGGTAACTAATTACAACTCATCGTGATTTTTTATTGTTATTACCAGTTGGATTTGAACAGTTCAATTCATAGTTCCAATAGCATTCGATTCAAAATATTCAGGAAATACTATCTTGTATGATTATAATTGTGACAATAACAAATGTGTTTATTTTTTTAATACTATCTAATGTTTAAGGTTAATACGGGGTTCTTTTTCATTTGCCATGAAATAACAATAAATATTTTATTAGTTTCAATCACTAATAGTTCATTAGTTGATTAAAATTGACTATAAACTTCAACACTTGTGACCCAATTAATATAGTGATTATTAAAGCGCTCATATTTAAAGCTTAACTGATCTGAATCGACGACCTTTTATCACCATAGTTACCTTATCCTTCATGCTTATATAATTTCAGAAAATATAAACTTATGCCAATTTATATTATGTCTTTAATTATACTTCTGTTATCAAATAATCAATAAAAATTTCTTTCGAAATTTGTCGTTATTCGATTTATAAGATGCCTATTTACTTAACAAAACTATTTTTTATGCTCTGTAAGTAAAATTCAACCATAACCAGACCATTCCGTAGTAATCTCATTAAATACAATGCTGTTTAGAGTTACTTAGTTTAAAAGTTTCCTTCTATAACTAAAACTATAGTAAACTATAGTAAATAAAACAGTGATTAATTTAGTTAATTATTTCATCAATGAATAACTAAGGGCTAATTTATTCATTTTGTGATAAAAAGACGACCGAATTTTTAACTTACTAAGTCTTTAAATCTATGGGATTGTATTTCTTATTCATTTATTTTGGAAGAAATAAAAACTTGTGATAATTGTCCACTGGTTCCTTAAAATGCAATCAGACAACCATATCTGAACATTAAGTGAGAATATAACTGATGGTCATTCTTACACTACAGTAGTAATCAATCAATTGAGATAGTGGAGAAGATTTGTAGCTCAGTTAGATGATTTTGATGGAGTTTTGTTCTCTGAGCTGGATGGTTTAGTCGTTTGAATTCAAACGCTTCACTTCTACCTGAAGTTTGTGCTGATAATGTCGTTCAGAAGAATGATGAAAGCTACACGACCGAACCATCCAGGTCAGAGAACAAAGCACCATCAAAATCAATCAAATTATCTGTATTGTCCCAGACTGAGTTTCATCAAAAATTAACCTTGAAATCTTAAAACTCTGTTTTGTTTTACAGTGACGTTGTTTGTCTTTTTCAAAGCTAATCCATATTCATATTCTGTACAGATTGCAAAATTATTCATCCACAAAGAGAATTCATATCAAACTTATTTAGTCTCCATTTTATCACCAACATATGTAATCAAACTTTAAAATACTTTTTATATAATGAATAATTCATAACCTACATATTGATTATAGAAATCAATCCGGTTATAATAAATTTTAAATGAAAACATCATAATTAGGATAACAGTTATTCCAACTATTTTATAGAGAAAATAACAAATGAATTACAATGTAATTCATTGGATTACATACAAATAAATGATAATAGATCAATTCATTAAAGTATCGTATATAACATTTTTTCTAAAAAAAGAATTGACATTACAAAATGATTTTTGTTATTACGTTTTCGTTGTACTACTGATATGTTTGTTACTAACATTATGAAACTCGACATTTAAAATTTATTGTTTATTATATATATATATATATATATATATATATATATATAACAATTTATTTTTGTCAGCTCCCTTTACTCTAATTTTTCTTGTTGTTTAATATAGATTCAAATAGCAACTCTATGTATATCTATCAATTTGAGTGCAAGTGTTATGCTGTGCTGTTTATTTTTTCCTAAATTATATATTATATACTTACGTCCAGAAAAAAATGTACGACGTTTAACAATGAATAATATGACAGCTAAACAAAAATTTGCTAATTTAGTCAAAGAAAAATCATCATTAAATGTTTGCGTATCAAGTTATGCATCGGATAATACAAGTTTAACTGTAAGTAGTAGCACAAAAACTGGTCTACAAACAGATTCAGATAAGGGAATACTAACTAGTCCAGTTAATCCAACACAATCTACTGTAACGGGTACCAGTTGTTTAAAACTAGGTAAGGTTGTAATATTGTTTGTTTTACCAATATATATATATATATATATATATATATATATATATATATAAATGTATATATATATATATAACCGTAAGTTGTGTATTGCTAAATTACTATTTAGTAATTATGATTGAAACAAAAAATATGTTGTTATATTAATAAATAACGTTCTATGAACAGAAAGACGTCTATCACTAATGTATGAATTGTACTACCTCATATATTTAAGCACACTTTCAATGCATTTTTCTAGATAGGGTAATGAACACGTCATAATTAAGGGACTTAACGAAGAGATAAGAATATCATTTAAAATTCTTCTTCTTAGCTAATATTCTATCCTGCCACGTTCAGTCTGTTAATTTTCACGCCTGAGATAATGAGTGTTTAGTAATCACACAATACCAAGTTCTTATGTTACCGACTGTATTTAACTTCACAGTGTAAAAGAATAATTCTGACCTACCTGGTTCAACAAACATGTTGTTCATTACAGTGACAGATATCATGTGTGATGTTTGTAATTTGAATAATACATGTCTTGTCGGTGCTTACAAATACATCCGACTAATCATTTTAATAAGAAAGCATTTTATCACTAAAAATTCAAAGCAATAAGCCTAATTAATTTATTTTTCTGGCTTTTAATAATATAAAATTTATAATTAATTTGTCTATCTGCATTGATGATCAAACAAGATGATACCGATTACACCTGGGTGAATGTATTTAATCAAAATGTTGATTTAAAGTACATATGTAATATTCAGTGACTTGGTTTTAGTACAAGCATAATTAACAAACAAAATAGTAAAATTTATAGCTACTTTCATTATAATATAAAATAGTATTGAAACGTTTCCAAAACTAACTGAATACCACAAATGAATAAATATCCTGTCAAATAAATACTGGAATATAATATTTTTTTCTTTCAAAAATAGAGAATAACTAATCAATGCTTCAATAATATAATGGAATGATTTCACAATGCTTCATTGTTGAAAATACTTTAACTCTCAATAAAACACATCTGAGTTCTCAATACTAAGATTTCTACCTTTTTTATATCATTCCAATGGTCATTCAAAATTTCCAATGATTGTAGCTCTTTGGTGAATTGGTTTTCATTATTTTCAATCAATCACAAGTACTTCATCAATGTTAACACCCTCAAGTTTTATCTAAAACAATTTGTTATCATTGACTCGTGATTCTTAATTTCTACTAAATAAAATTACATGCCTTAACTTTAAAATTCATAATTTATACAACAGTTGAAATTACTCATGTCTAATAATTCATTTTAATGATTATCATTACCTTTCGACTCATGTTTCAGTTAAGAAAATATTGTTCTGTAACAGTCAAGTATATCCTTAGTTCTCATTAACTATTATTACTAAGAGTCATTTGCTTTGACATAAAATCAATTAACAATAGTATTTCAGTTTAAAATACCACATATAGAATGAAACAAAGAAATTTGAAGGGATCTGTATACGACTTATTTTACTATCAAATCAAAGTCTTAGGAAAATTAAAGTCAAAATAAATAAATTCTACCTTTACTTCATTTGTGTCTGGAATACACAATAATATACTCAAGATAATAATAAGGTATAAATATTGTCATTCAGAAAGAAATGAGAATAAAACACAAAACAATCAGTTGCATAAGGTGTAAGAAAATGAATAATCACTGGCAACAGTAATATTTTTAGGAACAGTACACTTTATCCCGATTTATACTTAAGTAAAAGTAATACTGAGTCACAGCAGTGAGCATATCAACTAGTTTATTAATGATCCTTTCATTAGTTCAAATAAAATTAATAGTCTACCAAAAATTTTTAAAAGTTATATCATTCATAAGAATTGAATTGCCAAACAGTAAAACAGATCAACTACAGACTACTTAAATATAAAGAATATGGAGAAAAAGCAAAATATTAAATGATACTAAAATGACTAATCTTATATTATGATAAAGCACTAATTAATCAAATCTTACATATTAAAATACCTTAAACAGTAGATTTACATATACATATTACATTTAAAGTGTTACATGGTAACAATATTGTATCTATATTATTAACCATAATATTTAAATATCAGTAGTTTGTGAAAGTACAGGATATTAATCCTTTTTCCTATTTTCATATTTTAAATAGAAAAATACTTGCGAACAATACTTGGTCTAATTACAAAAAAAATATACATTTATTCACATTTATCATCCATATTGAACAAAACACAATTACTAATTTATACTTTAATTATTTCTTAGTAAATTTTAAGGAATTTTTAAAGATTTTTTTCTTCAAAATTTTACTAATTTCTGGACACTAAAAATAAACATTATTGACAAGAAAGATTTTGAAATAATCACCTCCAAAGAAAGCAATCACTTATCAATATAAACAACATTAAATAAAACTCTTGAAAAAAAAACTCTCTTTTATTTCTATTTTTTCTTTAATTTTGATAAATACATGATAACAAAATCAGGTGACAGTTAATTAGTTAAAGTAACTAAGAATTACCGGTCAATCGAAAAAAGAAAAGAACTAAATGAATTTTTTTTCTAACAATAACAAAACAACTTCCTTTCCCTTTTGTTTGTTCACTTTTAAATCATTGACTTTTATGTATACATTTTTTTCTTTTTTTAATTCTAACTATCATGTTGACTTTACACTTATTTTAAATAAAAATTGATTGAGTGTAACTGAGTCTGTTGTGAGATTGTAACTCACTAAAGACAATGGTAGATGTGTCGATCGTGGATTAGTTGAAGTTAGATATTAACACCACTGGATGCAAGATCCGTGGTCAAGACGTTAAGCGTTCGCATAAGAGGCTGATAGGTCCTGGGTTCGAGTCTCGCGTGGCGGGATCAAGGATGAGCACCGCTGGAGAGACCAATGATAGAACAAAACGGCTTCCAGGTTTTCCATGGTGGTCTAGCTTCGATTTACTCATAATCTCAACTATTGAGAAATTGATTTATTTATATGAAACGCTATCATTAGTGCTATTATATTTGAAAATTAAAAAGATTTAGATAAATATTTCAGTAATTTATTGTCACTGTTTGCTACACAAACATTCAGAATAGATTAAAAGAATAAACACTTAGATCAGTAATAGAAATTAATAGAATTACAAGTATTACATTAGCGAGGATGTATTTGTATTGAATATATATTTGATCATTTATATGGTTGAATATAATTCATTCGAAAGATTTGAAACAGATTGTTGTGAGAAACGTTGGATTTACTTCAAATTGATTCGCTGAGATTTTACAAACACACTCTTCCTTTTTAATGTCTTACATCAACTTGGTACCCAAATACTATGAAACAATTCATTTAAATTTAGACGAACATTTGTATATTTACAAGTATTACTCTGATTAATTAGAATTTATTAAAGTCATTCAATTATCAGCATTATTATCAGTATAGAAGATTATTAAGTTTTTGATTGAGATCATGAACCGATTTATGTTAGACCACCTTAGGAAACCTTGAAGCACTGGGCGGCCGTTTCGTCCTTTTGTGGGACTCCTCAGTAATGCGCACTCATGATCCCGCCTAAGGGTTTCCAACCCAGGGACTTCGACCTCGCACGCGAGCGCCTAACACCAGCATAGTTGCTTGTCGATTCATCATTCTATACTACAAACACACACCATCACGATTATGGTTGTGTGGATATTTTTCTATCAGTATTTATCCACGAGATATATAATACGGTACAAAAGTCATTTCAGAATGAGTGTATCATCAGTAAGCTTTAAACAAGCCAACATTTACCTCAATTCACTAAATATCAATAATTTTTTTACAGATTTTGAATTAGATAATTCAACATCATAGTAAGTTACTTTCTTCAGTTCATCATTATATACATGCTATGAGAATGATGTGCATGCCACTGCTTTCTTCTTTTACAAAAATGTTTTTACTCTGTTAATAAATAACATAAAACCAAATGAAAAATGTTTGGTTTTCAACAGATAAATCGGTAATATTTTAATTTACCTTTTGACAGAGTAGCCAGCTGTTTCATCTCATGATAATCTCATTATCAAACCCGAAAGTTTGTATTTCACTACTTTAATATAGACTGTCAACATCCAGAAAATGGAAAATGCTGCATTTAACAATATACTTATACATATTATTCTCTTTGAACAAAGGGAGAATTTCAATGTTTAATTATAAAGTGTATCACAAACTTTCTTTCAAAATAAAAACAGCTATAGTTTGTTGTAAGTACATCCCTTAAATGATTTTAGAAATTCACTGAAAAGCGTTACTAAAATTATGATCAACTAATGACTAAGAACAAATAACAGAGGTCTTCTCGAAATAGAAACCAACATATTTTTGAATTGATCATTAGGTGTAAACTTAGACTGAAGTATACAAATAGTAGGGATAGTTAAAATAACACGTTGATGTTATATAATCAACAAAATAAGCCATTAGTGTGCTGCCTTTAAAAACGTGTTAAGCATGAAAAAACACTTATTTTAATACTTTTGAAATAATTTTCATATTAATTCAAAAATAATGCGTTTTTTTTATAGATAATCAATTTTTTAACGAACCATCTCGTAGTAATTCCTCAATTACTCAATCAGTTCAAGTAATATGTAATCCTATAGTCAGTGATTATATTGCCTCAGTGACGACAATAACAACAACAACAACACCGTCAATAATGAAAACATCAACAGCAGTAACGGATGACAAACAATCCTCAGCTTATGTTAATACTTTGTTTATGAATTATCTTAATCAAAAACAAAATGATTATTTATCTAATAAATCTTATAATAATTTTCCTACACCTACACCATTATTATTAGACAATATACCAAATCGTTTATCACTTATTAATTCAGTTTATTGTGATGAAGATAATGTAACAACTGAAGATGAAGATAATTATACAATAACTGCAAAAACATCATTTTCTACAATTAATTCTAATACAAATAAAATTTCTAATATAACAATAAATAATTTTACTAATGATCATTATAACTCTACTCCTATTAATTCTAATGAAATTAAAATTATTAAAACGGAACAATATTCTCAAGATCAAAATTTAGAATTCAATCACTTATCAAATGAATATAATCACAACCAATTAAATAAAATATCAATATTAAATAATAATAATAATAATAATAATAATAATAATAATAATAATATATCTAAATATATTCCATCACAATTTACAAATCGTAATATAACATCATTTTCACCAACAATATCACTTGGTTCAATTGAATCACCTAATTTAAGTGTACCAAGTTCTGATTTATATAATCATAGTTATTGTGATGATACAATAATACAAAATAGTGAAAATAATGATAGTTCATTTCGTGATAATGAATCATTATTTGTACGTATTAATAAACAAGAGAAAACAAATTCACGTAGTATTGATTTTACGAAACAAACAGTTACTGCATTATAATAATTTATATGTTCCTTTTTTTCTAAAAAATATTCAATATTATAATTTTGTATAAATTAATTATTTCTGTAACACACTTTTCTTTTTATTATCTTTCTTTCAAGTAAATTTATCAATCAATGTATATAGTTTCTTTTTCTTTTTTTCATTTTTCTTTTAAGATATCTGCTTTCTAATTGAAATTAAATGAAGTAGTGTTTTTTAAAAAAAAAAGAGAGGAAAGAAAGAAAAGAAAAACTTTATCGATTATAGAAATAAATGTACAAATAAATATGAATTGTTCAATGTGTATAGTTGATTTATTATTTAACATGAAACTTATTATTATTATTAATAAATCTGAAATGATATGATGTTTAAATAGTATTATGTAATTCAATTAGAACAACAACAATAATAATAACAAAAAAGAAAGAAATGATGTAATATACTAACAAATTCTCCTTATTGATTTATTAAATAGTTCATTAGAAAATGTAAAGAAAAAAAATCATGTAAATATGTTACAATGACAGATAACTATATATATTATCGATTGTTTATATTGTTCATAGTTTATTATGATATTGATTAGAATATTATTTTTTATTAAGGTGAACATTTTTCTTATATTTCTCTTTGATAAATAAACTGAAAAACTATAAAATGTATTTATTATATAATATGTTGTATTAATTTAATGTAGCATTAAAGGAAATAAGTTATATTAATATAATTAAAATCACTTTATATAAAATTTACACAATTAATTATTTGCTATTCTTTTGATAAGTAACCATCGAATAACAAACATTCTGATAGATATACAGAATATGCTTTTCTAATTGAATATATATATATATATATATATATATATATATATATATATATAAGGCCGGCTCCAATGAATCCACCGGACATCGAAGCAGCACACACAGATCTTCCTATAAATGTCAATCCACCAACGACAGAAGAAATCAGAATGGCCATCAGACAAATCAAGAGTGGGAAAGCATCAGGACCTGACAATATACCAGCTGAAGCGTTGAAGTCAGACATCGAAGTAACTACAAGCATGCTTCATCTTCTATTCAAGAAGATTTGGGAGGAGAAACAAGTGCCGATGGATTGGAAAGAAGGACATCTCATCAATATTCCAAAGAAAGGAGATCTGAGCAAGTGTGAAAACTACAGAGGCATTACACTACTGTCAATACCGGGTAAAGTCTTCAACAGACTGTTACTGAACAGGATGAAAGATACAGTAGACGCCCAACTTCGAGATCAACAAGCTGGATTCCGTAAGGACCGGTCGTGCACAGACCAAATTGCGACACTACGGATCATTGTCGAACAATCAATTGAGTGAAACTCGTCACTATACATCAACTTCATTGATTATGAGAAGGCATTTGACAGTGTAGATAGGAGGACGTTATGGAAAATTCTTCAACACTACGGAGTTCCTGAGAAGATTGTCAACATTATCCGGAACTCATACGACGGACTACAGTGCAAAGTAGTGCATGGAGGACAGCTGACAGATGCATCCCAAGTAAGGAACGGAGTCAGACAAGGTTGTCTACTCCCTCCCTTCCTCTTTCTTCTGGTGGTCGACTGGATTATGAAGACCTCGACATCTGAGGGAAACTACGGCATACGATGGACAGCTCAGAACCAATTAGACGACTTGGACTTCGCAGATGACCTAGCCCTCCTATCACATACACACGAACAAATGCAGATAAAGACAGCCAGCATAGCAGCAGTCTCTGCATCAGTAGGCCTCAACATACATAAAGGGAATCGCCGTTTCGTATTAGTATAGAACTCCTCACCAGTGCGCATCCACGATTCCGCCTCCTGCGAGATTCTAACCCAGGACCTATCAGTCTCGCGTGAGAACGCTTAACCATTAGAATATTGAGCAGGCATCCGATGGTGTTAATGTCTAACTTCAACTAATCCACGAAATTACTCCACCGTACACTATTGTTTTCAGTGAGCTGATATTTCACAACAGATTTGATTATGTAATACTATGAATACATTTTATTCAACTTAAACGAACTAATTTATTTAACTAGAACAATAAAATACTAACATATTCACTCAACTTTTTCTTATGTTTTGTTTGTATAAATTTATCCGGAAATGAAGTTTTATAATAACTGGTTGTTATAAAGAAAAAGCAAAATTCATGATTAAGTTATTTATTATATTGATGAAAAGTGAATTTTGTTGTGAACAAATTTCACGTCGATTGAGTTTTGAATATAAAAAAATTACTGACAAAACAATATAACATTATTGGTAATGTTAAGAAAAGGCCATAAATGAAAGGGTACGAAAAATTATATACCTTAATGTGATATGTTCAAATAAATGGGCTAAAATCGTATGTACAAAGTTTAATACAAAATAGGAATTGTTGTATCATAGTTATGATGATAGCAATAGTGATTATAATCATTATAGTAATGATATAAAGAATAATTACTACTTAGAATATCATGTAAAATAAGCAAGATGAACGTCTCTGCATCAGTAGGCCTCAAAATACACAAAGGGAAAACCAAGGTCCTCAAACACAACACGGAGAACAGCAATCCAATCACTCTTGATGGCGAAACCCTGGAAGACGTGGAATCCTTCACATACCTGGGAAGCATCGTCGACAAACAAGGAGGTTCAGATGCAGACGTCAAGGCGAGGATTGGCAAAGCTAGAGCGGCATTCCTTCAACTGAAGAACATATGGAACTCAAAACAACTTTCAACCAATATCAAAGTCAGAATCGTCAATACGAACGTCAAGGCAGTTCTACTGTACGGAGCTGAAACTTCTAGAACTACAACAACCACCATCAAGAAGGTACAGGTATTTATTAATAGCTGTCTACGCATGATACTCAACATCCATTGGCCGGATACCATCAGCAACAGCCTTTTGTGGGAGAGAACCAACCAGCTTCCAGCTGAAGAGGAAATTAGGAAAAGACGATGGAAATGGATAGGACATACATTGAGGAAATTATCAAACTGCATTACGAGACAAGCGCTAACTTGGAATCCTGAAGGGAAGCGAAAAAGAGGAAGGCCAAAGAACACATTACGTCGGGAAATAGAAGCAGATATGAAAAAGATGAATAATAACTGGAAAGAGCTTGAAAGGATTGCCCAGGTCAGGGTTGGATGGAGAATGCTGGTGAGCGGCCTATGCTCCTTTGAGAGGAGTAACAGGCGTAAGTAAGTAAGTAATATATATAATAGATATGCGAATCGTTTAAAGATCCCTAATATTTGAACGAACAATATTCTTTTCGATAAATTCGCTTGAGGTTCTACAATTATATATCCAAACTAATAATATGAAAATTGACCAGGTTAAGAGCAAAGTATTTCGTTTAAAGTATGTAAATTTAGGATTATCAAACAGAATGAAAATATTATGTATAGGTAACTTATAATTCTTTTATTGAAATCATGAACCGATTGATTTTAAACCATCATTGGAAATCTGAAAGCGCTAGAAGGCCGCTTCGTCCTGTTGTGTGTCTCCTCAGTAGTGCACATCCATGATCCCGCTTGCGGGATTCCAGCCCAGAACCTACCGATCTCGTGCGCGAACACCTAACCTCTAGGCCACTAGGCCGGCATCCAATGGTGTTAATGTATAACCTCAACCAATCCACGAAATTGCTCAACCGTCTTCCATTGTACTGAGGTCTCCACCCGACGCGGATTTGCTCAGTGGCCTAGAGGTTAAGCGTTCGAATGCGAGGTCGAAGCCCTGGGTTCAAAAACCATCGGCATGATTGTGGATGCTCACTACTGAGAAGTCCTGCCATAGGACGAAACGGCCATCCAGTGTTTCCAGGCTTTCAGTGGTGGTCTAACATCAATCAGTTCATGATCTCAACGAAAAACCTAATAATCTCCACAACCCTATACTGATGCTTATAGTTTTCTTAATATTTGATATCATATTAACAAGTCAAATGCTTTGATTAACACTAAGTGGTTTTTGTTACTAATGTGAATTAATATATTATTAAGACAGTAATAAAAAAACTTATGTGCGAGAAATATAATGAACTTTGCGTATTATTTCTATAGTCTATAATTCAATTAATCAGTAGTAAATATGTTTATGGGCATTCATTTGTGTTTGTGATTAAAAAAATACAGTTACGAATTCATAAAACAATTAAGACATCAATTTTTAGCCAGTCATTAGGATTGATTTTTTTGTTAAATGTCATGATTAGTGTATATCTCGCTTTTTTTTTAATATTTGTACAGATCATTTCATTTATAGGCCAAATCAACCTGTTGAAATAATATTATCCAGCCTAGAAAATAAATACAAACCATTAATCAATATTAACGTGAGATAACAGATAAAATGTTGTATGGATTCTGTGAAGGTTTTGTCAAACAACTGCATTCACACGATTTGTGTGACTGAATGACATTTACTACAAGTAATTAAACTGTTGACTAAAGTTCTTCAATTGATGGATAATAAACGACACAGTAAACAGTCAACAAACCGATTTCTTCTTACAGAAAAAATAGTGTACACTTGCAAGGTAAATTTTTGGCTTAAAATTACATTCTTATAATTCGTTTAAACTGTGTGTAATTGCATATCTTTAGTTATGTTAAAACCATTAACCGTCCGTCAACAAAATGAATCGAACCTCAATTTATGTTCCCCACATCGATCAAATTGGTTATTTAATTCAAATAAATAATTGGTGGTCTGTGTATTAATGCACTGATACAAAGTTAAGACAATTTTTTTCAAATTAAGCAAGACGTTTATGTGAATAGAAAACTCTTCAATACAGGTTACATTAAGATATCAATTTAAAATAATTAATACCCATAAATAAAGTTGTATGATACAATGTGAACTGTCTCTATTCCTTTATTCAATGAATTAAAGTTGCATTCAATTGATATTTGTATTAGATATTTCTTGTCGTAACTACTTCTTCCTTAAATTTTCACTCTTCACTTTACAATCTACATCTAAGTAATTGTTTCGCAGTCTAATTTATTTCCATCTCACTGATTGTTATTCTATAAATATCAACGTTAAATAATAGTAATAATTACAAATAATATTTATCACTGTACTACGTTTGTCATTGTCTTCACTGCTACAACAGATTCTTCTTCCGTACATATGTAAATTATTTCACACGGATACTTACTTTATTGGGACTACGTAACACCATGTTTTGCACTGATTACTCGTTCGGTGTGAACGTGTACAGGGATACTTTGTAAAGGTATTAAAAATATATTTATAGTGCCATTATTTTCCGCTTAATTATTTACGTACACAATATTCGAATTGAAGGTGTCTTCTCAGTTATATATCAAGTTCGTTGTATTGTATCAGTAGGCTAAGGAATGAGCTCACTTCATATTGCTGAAACAATGAACATAGATTGAAAAAAACCTGACCTTTGCAAAAAAGACGATACACACAACCTCTTTGATGATCTTATTCAAGTTTAGGGTCATTTCATTCTTAGCTCCAATTTCATCCCCTCCCCATTCATCGTGATTTGCGCTCCCATCCAAAACGTTTTATCTTATTCTTAACTATACGTTCATCTTGCTTACTTACTTACTTACTTACGCCTGTTACTCCTCTCAAAGGAGCATAGGCCGCTCACCAGCATTCTCCATCCAACCCTGACCTGGGCAATCCTTTCAAGCTCTT